GAGAGCCGCGGGCTGAGCGCCTGTGTCCCCACGGGCAGCCGGCAGGGGTCAGGCGAGCTCCACGCAGAGCCCGCGGAGCCGCGCCCGAGCTCAAGCCGGCGAGCCTAAGGCTCCGCGGTGCGCGATGCCTCGTGGGAGTGGGTCAGAGAGAGGACCCTGAACCTACCTTGAACTGGGAGTCGCGACTAACGGCCACCTGAGTCCTGGGTCCGGGCTCCGCCAGGAGGGACGTAAACTGGGCGCCCTCCTCCAGCCCCCTCGCCGCGTTGACACCAGCTCTGGCTCCACCCAGCGTCTGGGCGGGGCCGGTTTGCCCCCGTTTGCTTGCTTGCCCTGGGCAACTCACCTTACCGGTCTCCTGGAATGCGGGCTTGTGTAACCTCGTCTCCCGCACCGAGTTGTCGCGAAAATCAAGGAGCTAATATGTCAAAACGAGACTTGAGAGGGCTGTACAGGTAAGGGATTGCCATTACTAGATTACATGGGTTTAGAATTAGGACTCAGGCCTCTGGGGAAGTGTCCTCTAGGCCCCAGGTCAGTTGTTCTGATAGGTTGCCTGTGCCGCAGAATTACCCCTGGAGATGTGATTAGGTCTGGGGGAGATTCAGGAATCTGCATTTTTTTTTTAAATTAAAGTTTATTGGAGTGACAATTTTTAGCAAAGTTACATAGATTTCAGGTGTACAAATCTGTAATACATCGTCTATATATCACAATGTGTTCACACCCAGTCAGTTCTCCTTCCATCACCATATATTTGATCCCTTTAACTCTCAACTACCACCCCCCTCCCCATTTACCATCTGCATTTTTTTACTGGTTGCAAAGGATGTGCCCAGACCACACTTGGAGAACCATTTCCTTAGCTTCTGTTACCATCCCACCAGGCAAGCAGTAGGAAAACAGGGATGATAGTCAACAGGGGAACTCAGCAGATAGTGTGATCTGCCTATAACTGGAGTGGAATTAGAGGCAGCCCCAGGAAGGAGTAGGGCAGACAGCTGATGCTGTATGGTGCACAATGCATGTGAACAACAAAAATCTCCCACAAGAACCAAAGTGGAAGTGCCCTCTGCTCTTTCATTCATGACTCAGGCTACACTTTTTTTTGTTGTTCTTTTTGGCTTTTTTTTTTTTTTAATTTTTATTTTAAAGGTTTTTATTGGGGAATTGGGGGGATGGGAACAGCACTGGGGAATTGGGGGAAGGGGAACAGACAACTTTGCTGTCGTTTTTGTTCTTCAGTCTAGTTGTGGCGGATGTTGCTTCACTGGCCCAAGTTGGCACCATCATTGCGCTCTTCCCGGGAGAGGCAGATCAGTTGCCAGCTTCTGGACGGCCGCTCACTGCGGCTGCTGGCCACTCACGCTGGCTGCTGGCTACACACGGTAGCCCATGGCAACCCACTGCCACAGAGGCTGCAGCCTACGCCATCACCGGCGACTCATGGCAGCCCAGCTCCAGGTCGAGGTCGAGCTGTTGTTCAGCATCTTAGCTGTGAAGGGCAGTGTCACTGGCCCTCATATGTGGGATCCGAACCGGGGCCCTCTGGCATCCCAAGCCAGTTCTTAACCATCGCGCCACTCGGCCGGCCCTGGCTTTATTTTTAAACATAGCAATTTCACATACAGCATCAGGAGAAAAATAACTTTTCCCCCAAGTTGGTGGCAGGGCTGACTAGACAAACCATCCCATTCTGTCACATTCTGAATATCTCTAGGCTGGTTGTTCTAGCTACACATGAAAGGCAGCAAGACCACCATTTTAGCCACATTCATTTCAACGTAGCAGGAGGCAGGGAGGGGAAGTGAAGGGACAGTGCCACAAACCCTGGGTTTTCCCCTCAGCCTGGAACTGTGCTGGGGTAGGTAAAATAGCACTTGCCTACAGGCCAGGAACAGAAGTCAGAAGACATACTGCTGGGCTGAGAGCCAAGAAAAACAGTTCTCTCTTTTAGGGATCTTAGATGGGGTGGACTAACCCAAACCGGTTCCACTCTATGTTCCATCCAGGCAGCTGTGCAGTGGAGCCCCAGGAGGGCATTCTCAGAACCCCCATCTCTCGTGATCTGAATTATAACTCAAATTCCGACCTTGGGAAAATCAAATTATCTTGATCTTTTAAAAAAACATGGGGGATGGTTTCCAGAAATGTATGAGTTTCCTTCTAGCTCTAAAATGCTTACCACTCTGGGCTCCCTCCTTCCTTTAAAATTCCCTGGGAGATCTGGGAAACAGAGGCTGAGACCTCCTCTCTCCCAAGGGCTGATTTCACACCTTTGTCCCCCTTCACCAGTGAGCAGACTGGAAGGCAGGGGCAGGACCTGGACCAGCCACTCTCAAGGACATGGGGCAAGAGCCAGATAGGAGGCAGTAGCAAGTCTATTGCTTCGCCCCCAAAACACCAGTGTAGAAGCAGATGGGTTTGATTCATAATATGTTTAATACAAAATGGCAGCAGCCTGTGTAGCTGTAACAAAAGTAGCCATAGGGTATCCAGAGAAATGTACACAGGCGGCCAAGCCAGACAACTTGCCACACAACTCAGGCCTGCTGCCCATTCAGCTGTGGCCAGGACTGGACGATGGCAGTGGCAGAGCAGTGCTAAAGGGATCAAAGGTGCTGCCACAGAGGCCAGCATTGAGCTGATCATTCATAAGCATGCTGGTCTCTGCCCCACAGAAGACTCTGGGTGGCACACGTGTTCTGAGATGCCTATTCCCAGAACTACACCTCAACACGGTGGGATTTCAGCCCTACAGCATGAAGCCCTAGGGGGATGGAAGGGCTGCTGCAGAGGGGTGCCTGCTCACAAGCTGCTGGGGGCTGATGAAAATTGGCAGAAACAAAGGTTAGGTTTTGGGGTTTTTTCCCCTGAAAGAGTACCAAGTTCAAATAAACTGAGAGGGATAATGTTTCTGGTGTACTTGAGCAGAGAGCTCTCTGCCAGAGGCTTGCCTAAGAAAAAGGGGTGGCCGCCTGCCTGCCTCGAGATGCCCATCTGGGAAGTAGGGGGAGTCAGGCTTGGAAGTTAGAAAGCAAGAGCACAGTCCCCCAAACCCATCCCAACCAGCTCCAGAAAAGCCACTGTGCTTCCTGTCGAGTCCATGTTAAACCACTGAATGCTTTTCCTGGGTTGGCTAGCTGGCTGGTCTGGCTCTGAGGCCCACAGTGGTTTCGCAGCTGTTGTGGAGAAGTCAACCTCATACAGAGGCCAGAGGGCTAATTCAAGAAGGGCAGCCGAGCAGCAGGGCCTGCCTTGGGCATGGGAGTAGAGTTGCCACACCTCTACTTCCAAAGGCCTCTAGGTGTTGGGAAGAGGGGTGAGAGGTCTTAGAGTTAGTGAAAGTCTGCGTTGAAGGCTCTGCCGATGATTAGCCGCCTTACCTCACTGGTCCCAGCCCCAATCTCATACAGCTTGGCATCTCGCAGAAAGCGGCCCATGGGAAAGTCATTGATGTAGCCATTGCCACCTGCAGCCGGGGTTTAGGGACAGAAGAAAGGACAACAGGAAAAATGATAGGCAGTGGGTAAAGCAAGGGAAGCAACAGAAGGCCAAGAATATATAAACGCATCAGAGGAGGAGACACCAATTAAACAGAAGCAGCAAAAGATGGCTAGAAGGAGGGGTATGGGGAACACCTAGTTGGGAGATGGGTGGACAGGGGCTGGAAGGCCACCTAGAGTGCAGAGGATAGCAGGCAAGGAGAGGAGACAACCACTGGCAGACATGGAGAAGGGGGACAAGGAGAATACTGCATAGCACTTAATGGGTGCCAGGCTCAGAGAGGTGAAGTAATTTGCACAAATCACAAAGCCGGTCAGTGGCAGAGCAAGGATTCAAACCCAGGCCATCTGGCTTGAGTCTGTGCTCTTAACTACTGTGCAGCATTGAAACAAGGCTGTCCCACCTCTGAGGCATCTCTCTCTGCCCACTTCACAATGTCCACAGGACCAAGCGGGGCTTGTGGGGAGATGATGAGAAGAGGGCGTTGCCGAAAGTAATGGCAACTTATGGCCTCTAGCAGTATTCTCATTTACTTTTCCATGTCCTCCTAGTAACTGGGACAGAAGGAGACTAATGGCATCAGCTCAACTGCAGCTAGCTGAAGCGCAGAGTGAGGGGTGAAGAGGAAACCTTTTTGGAGGCAGCCACAGACTCTGGGAGTAAGGGCAGCCCTGGGTGTGGGGGGTGGGGAGCCACTTACCAAAACACTGAATGCCGTCCAGGGCCACCTGTGTGGCACACTCAGCTGAGTAAAGAATCACCCCTGCGCAGTCCTGTGGGAGGAGGCCCCAGTCAGCAGGGCCCTGCCAAGGCCATGCAGAGAGCAAGTCCCAGCAGCCGGCCCACTGCCTTCTCTGGGACTGGCCCTTACCTTGCTCATGCAGTGGCCCTCATCACAGGCCTTGGCGACATTGTAGACGTACTGCCGACATGCCATGAGGCGGGTGTACATGTCAGCCATCTTTCCCTGCATCAGCTGGGCACAAAGGGAGGTCACAAGTCAACATGCTTGAGCCACATTCCTCAGAAACTCTCCCTAGTTACCAAAAGTAGGTCAAGAGTAGCAACCTGACAGCCAGGAATGGGGGCGTCAGGGCACAGAGAGGAGATGGGACTTGCCTAGGGTCACAGAGGTAGATGGTAGTGGGTCTGGAGTTCAGGCCAAAGGGTGGCCACTGCACCCTGAAATAGCCCTCCACCCACCACCACCCTCATTAATGTCCTGCAGTGTCTTCAGACCAGAAAGTATGACTAAAAATGCCGCTCCCTTTCCCCCATGCCTCCCCCACAACCTGCACTCTTCATCCTTTAATCTTACAATGCCTAGTTCATTCATCTAAAACAGGAAGTGAGGTGACATGTGATGAACTTCCTGACAACTTCCAAAGCCAGGTAACATGCTAAGGAAGCCTGTATTACAAGCATTCGAACACATTTTGCCAGGGAAGGATAGTAAATGCCCCATAATACATGCACTGTGTACTCATTTGTTAAAGAAAACTTGAACCCAAGGAAAGCACATTTCAGCAAAGCATTCCACTCACCTGGAAGTGGCCGATCTTCTGGCCAAAGGCTTCCCTCACGTGAAGATAGGGAATGGTGTGGTCGAGGACGGCCTGCATGATCCTGTGGAAAGGAGAAAGACACTGGGGCGGTGCCTCACTGTCCCTCCACTGCCAGTTGGGGTGGCAAAATGCCAGTGTGGGAAGCCTTGAGGGGACAGTTCAGCGAGACAAGGAGCTAGAATTCTAGGGAGGAGAAAAGGAGCGTGAGGATACTCGTCACCCCTGCTTAGTTACTGCACTGACTGTCCAGGACTTGTGCCCCTTCCCCTGAGACCAGACAGGCTGGCAGGACCCCTGCATTGAGGGGCCTTAGAGCCCAGGCATCCTGTTGCACAACCTGAGTAACTAAGCAGTATTGTTCCTCAGGCCTTTTGTCTATTACCTAATGATCTTTCCCTTCAATGTGAAATTACACATTTAGAAGGAGGTTTGTTTGGTTTTTTTTCCAGGAGAGAAGGTGCATCTACCAGGAGGCAGCTCCCCTTGGCTGTCAAGGGCATGGCTGTAGCTGCTGTTTGTGAGGGCGCCACTTGCCAAGGAGTCCAAAACCCCAGCTCATACTCACCCAAGGGGCCCACCAGCCAGCACTAGCCGCTCCAGGTCCAGCCCACTCATCAGCACGTAGACACCCTTACCTTGATGGCCCAAGATGTTGTCAACTGCCGGGAAAAATGCTGGTCAGAGGGAAGAGCGCTGTCTATAGACTCCTCACTTATATAAAAGCTACTAGGTTTGGTGCCATGGCTTTCACAAAAGGCACAAAAATATGTCACCTGACCTTCAACTAGGGTTCCAGTGAGAGAGAGGGATGGAGGTTACCATTTCCAACCAGGAGTGGAGGCTTGCTAGACGGACCCCACCACCACCACCACACACACACCCCCTCTGTAAGACCAGACACAAAGGCCCAATCCTTAGGTCCTCCTCTTTTCTTCCTTCACTGCCTTGGATGGGAAAGAAGAAAAGCTAATTTGGTCTAGAAGTCATCCAACCCCTTCCCAGTTCTTTTTACATCTGTGTGCATAATTACTCTTTCCTCGAGGTTGAGCCTGGTCTGGTCCAGTATTACCCGCCCCCTCCCCTCCAAGGGTGGGCCATGGAAGAATCTTTGTCCAAGAGATGGGCCATTTGGTACTAGTGACAAACTGCTGAGCACCTCTCCACCCCAGAAGCCAGGGTGGCCTTGGAGTTTTTTCTGCTGACAAAGAAGGATCTGTACTGGTTTTTTTTAGCATCATTAGTGAGTACCTCATACAAGCTGTATAGGGAAACGTACAAACAAGGATGTCTGAAGGACATTAGTGGGCAAGGGCAGATCTTACCTTTCTACTCCAGATACTGGAATCCAACCCCCGGCAGTGTATTATCCACACTGCAATCACAGGCAGGCACGCAGGAAAAATGGCTGTCCAACAGCCCCTGAGTCCCACATGTACGGGCCAGTGGGAAGCACAGCAGTAGCAGGCCCACTGTCTAGCCATAAGTCATTGATAAGCTAACCCAAAGATAGGCTTTCTCAGCTTATGAAGGAGTCGGGACAGGGGCTTGCCCTTTCTCAAGAGACTCACCAGGAACCTTGCAGTCTTCAAAGATTAGCTCACAGGTGTTAGAACCCCTCATCCCCAGCTTGTCCAACTTCTTGGAGGTGCTGAACCCAGGCATATTCTTGACAGAAACAGAAAGTGACCTTGATTACAGACCAGGCCCCAAGGGGGCCCAGTAAAGGGAAGACCCCTGAGAAATGCCCACCTTCCCATCAAGTTCCTATCCTCGCACCACACGCCAGCATCCTACTCTCAGGGCCCCAACTCTGTGCACAACTGCTCCACTCCTGGAAACTCCAGCCCTAACCCCCCACCCTAACCCCAGGCTCCTCTGCTGCTAGCTTGCATTCTCAAGGGAGCAGTTCTCCTGACCCTTCCTGGCTTTCTTTCCTTTCCTCAGGGAAATCACTTCCAAGACACTCTCACCAGCCCATTCAATTCCTTTGCCCCCTTGTTCCTCTGCCATCTGTACCTAACTGAGTCCCACCCAGAATCCATTCAACTACTTGTGTGCTTTGACCTGGATTAATCAGATGAAGCATGCATTGGCAAGTGCCCAGCAGAGTGCACATGTTGCTCCCCTCACCTCCTGGCTGATGAGAGTGGCGCCACACACACAACCTTGAGATTTCTGATCTTAGCCAGGCTCCTTCGACTACTCACTTCTCATGTCCTCCAATCCTAGTCAGCTACTCTCCCTGTCTCGCTAAGGAGGGTATTGCAAACCTCTACAACACTCATTCATGAAATGCTCTATCAACTCCCCCATCCCCAGGGTTCCCAGCCCTCACAGGTTCCCTGGCCTCCCACAAGGTCATCAGGCAGATGTTCCTCCCCCATCACCTGTAACCAGCCTTACCGTTTCTCCCTCAGCTCTCCATTGTGCTTTGCTCACTTGCTCCCACACATCACAAGTTCTCCCTCTCCTATTTTCCTTTTTCTTTACCAAAAAATTTGCTCAGTTCTCTCCCATTCTTAAAAACAAACTCAAATTCCCAACTTTTCATTCTAACTCCTGCTCTATTTCCCTCCTGATTTTATTGTCAAGAGTCAGAAGGTGCAGTTCTTAGTGTCTCTACTCCCACCTCAGGCTCCCATAGCTGCTCTCAGCAGCCACCCCCCGCCCATGACATCCGATTGTCAAATCCAGTTGTCTCTTTTCAGTCCTCATCTTCTGGCCCTCTTTGTGTGGCCAGCTCCACTGATCTCAGACTTGATCCATCCTCCCTGGACTCCACTTTTTGGCCACTCTCCTTTAAGTCTGCTCTTCTGCCTCACCCCCGATCCCAGGGAGCCTTGGCATAGTACACAATGATCGTGTTTGCGATCAGTTGAAGGGATCTATCTCTGGCACACTGTCAGGAGACAAAAGCTGCCCGCCGTGCAATCCCCTCTACTCACCTTCTCCACAATGAAGGCTGTGATGCCCCGAGAAGGTGGCACAGCACCCAGATCTGTCTTGGCATAGACAACAAGGACGTCAGCATCAGGGCCATTCGTGATCCAGAACTTGTTGCCATTCAGGACATAGTGATCTCCTAAGAACAGGAATTTGGCTACTTACTCTATCTGTGTTGGCTCATCTCAGCCAGTTGTCCACAGACCTGCTGCTAAGCAGAAAGCTGCCCAGTTGTGAAATAGTTCTAGAAACCCAGCAGAGGCCACCCCCAATTATTGCTTCCTTACCCTGAAAGGGTCTGTCCCTCTGCCCATCTCAGCTTCCCAGTCAAGAGGGGCCTCACCTTTCTTTTCTGCTTTTAGCTTCATGGAGACAACATCAGAGCCAGCATTGGGCTCACTCATGGCCAGGGCCCCAATGTATTCACCACTGATCAGCTGTAAGGGAAACCCCAAAGGGTCTGATTATGACTTCAGAAGTACCTACAGGAGCTCACAGATACTTCTTGCCTGTTCACATGACACCCCTTAAAATTTCCCTCCAGACCAGGGTATTGGTAAAGTGCTATAAGAGAAGCCCAATATCTACAAGGCTGAAAATATCTCTCCTTTTCCCATTCCCTTTGCAAGGGAAGCAAGTTTTAGTTTTCCATGTTTTTGTTTTTTGTGGAACTCAGGAAATATTTCTTTGCTTTTTAAATTGACCTTTGTGTTCAATTGCTTCACCTCAAAAATAGAGGGAGCCACTTTGACCTCACCTGGAACAGAAACATAATTAGACAGGTAAGAAAAACTAGGGAGAGTCTATTTCACCATTTCATTACAAGGTATCATTATTTAGCTAATTTGCTATTCCACCTGTATCAATAGGCTGCATATAAATAAACCAGTAATACAGTTTTCAGTATATCTTTTTCTTATTATTCTTATTATTAGTTTCAGGTGTACAAAACAACATAATGCTCAGACATTTACACATCTCACGAAGTGATAACCCCAACAAGTATACTCACCTGACACCGTACATAGCTATTACAATACCATTGACCATATTTCCTATGCTGTACTTTACATCCCATGACCATATATATATGTATATATGTGTGGAGACATATATATATATGTCTCCACACATATATATGGAAATAGCTTTATTGTTTTTCTTTTTCTGGTTTATTGATAAAATTAAAAAGACTTCATTGAATGTGAAAAGAAATAGGACAGTTGTCTTAGAGAGATGTCTGACAGTTAATAATCTTTAAATAGTTAAAAATATTTTTATATTATACTGATATGAAGCACATGCTAATTCCAGTGGGAGGTGGTTTGCTTTTCCTTTGCATGGTCTATAAAAATGTTTAGTAAGGAAATGCCAAAAACAAATAAGATTTCAAGATAAATAGACTGTTTCGGAAAATAAACATTTCAGGACTCAGCTACCTGAAAAAAGTGGCATAATAAAAACCGTGTTTTATTATTAGTTACTCCCCTGTCAGCTTAAAGATCTCCTCCCCCCATTCCAGCTCTCTGACCAGCTAGCAATGTGGCCTTGAGAAAATATTGAGTTGTTAGAAAAGTCATGATGTATGTTTTGTTTTTCATTGCAAAAATGCGTCGTGACTTTTCTGACAACCCAATAATTTAACATCGTTACCTTCAGTACTCCTATATTTATCCCAGAAATGGGAATTGCACTAGCAATTCAACAGGTTTTTGTTCAAATAATAAAACATTCGTAAAGCACCTAGCAACTATCCCTGGAAAAGTAAGTGCGGCATGCCATCTTTCAAGGTCCCTTGCAGCTGGTGAACCTTCTCCATGGCTTTCCGTGTCTTCTCAGACAGAATAGATTTTCTTCATTTGTATTCACACAGCACTTTTTGGACCTCTGATTCAGCATGCCATATTATGATTACTCATTTGTATCCACCTTTCCTAATCATCTGTGAGTTCTTTGAGGGATAGGATAGTGTGGTTAATTATTTTCTGTATCCCTGGCGTAAAGCAAGGTCCTGGTGTAACTAAGTGATTAGCAAAGTATTATTGCATTGAATTTTTAATGGTTCTCATCAAAACAGATCCAAAAGGACACTTATAATGTTAGTCTTCTGTTTCTTAAAGTGCTTTCTGCAAATGTTGTCCAGTGATGAACTCAGGAGGTCTGGCCCTATTTTTAATTTTTTTGACTGAAGTATTTGAAAGCAAATTCCCGACCCCTTCCTAAACTAACCATATCCGGTTCGGGGCAGCATGCTACAGAAAGCAAGGGTGACCTACCCTAGCCAGTGAAGGAGGGTGCCTCGCGGTTGGTGGTTGCACCATGAGATCAGGGTGTGTTTCTCTATTCCCATTTCCTTACCTTAGGGAGGTACTTCTCCTTCTGGGCCTCATTTCCATTGCGCACAATTTGGTTCAGACAGAGATTGGAGTGGGCACCATAACTGAGTCCCACTGCTGCAGAAGCTCGGGATATCTCCTCCATCATCAGCACGTGTTCCAGGTAGCCCAGGCCAGAGCCGCCATACTGGACTGGGAGTGGAAGTTGCAATGGGGAGTGGAAAAGGCAACCCAGATTAAACTAGGACATTGACAGGAATCTTACATTTATTGACAGCAGACAAACACCCTGGTAGCCCCTATTCCAGCTTCCCCTAACAAAGTCAACAGGCTGATACCATGGACTCTGTTTACAAACACGCACAACTGGTTTTGTCTGCTGCCTCTGTCAGCTGAGGTATGGTTCAGTCATTGTAACTCCTGCTTTATCCCAGAGAGACCTCTTAATGAAGACAAGAGAACCTGAGTACTGTAGCCACTATTTGGAAGCGCAGAGGCAGATGAATAAATGAAGAGGACCTATAGTTTACCCAAGAAACACAAAGAGGGTCAGAGCATTAAGAACAGATGCCAGACGGCCACGTGGCTCAGTTGGTTAAGAGCTCGCTCAAGAGTGTGAGCTCTGAGCAACAGGGCTGCCGGTTCCATTCACAGCCTGAGCTGAGCTGCCGCTGAGCTGCCAACAGGTGGCAGGATGGCTCAGCCGGTGAGAGCACGTGCTCCTAACAACAAGGCTGCCTGCTCGATGGTGGGCTATGCCTGCCTGCAAGTAAGATTGAGCTCGGCACCTTGAGCTGAGCTGCCACCAGGATTGCTCGGTGGATAGAGTGTGAGCTCTTAACAACAAGGCTGCCGATTCGACTCCCACATGGGATGGTGGCTATGCCCACCCGCAACTAAGACTGTAACACAGCATCTTGAGCTTAGAGGCCACGAGCTGCCGACAGGAAGCCAGATGGTGACGGGCACCCTCCACAAGTAACACTGAAGAACAACAACTTGGCTGGTCCCCCTTCCCAATTCCCCAACACTATTCCCCTTCCCCAACTCCCCAATTTAAAAAAAAATTAGTAACAGAGGACAGGAAAGCCACAGCCTGAGAGAAAAAATCTGGTGGGTAGTGTAGCAGAGGGCAACAGAAATGCTGGTAGGGAATTTCAGAACGCCTCATAAAAACTGTGCTTTTTCCTTGGCAGCAGATCTAAAATAAAAGTGGCTGGGTCATCTGGTACCAACTCTCTGCCCTGCTATTTGAGTAAACCCTACTGAGACCCTCTGCACATGTTCACTCTGACCAAGAAGTCAGGCTCATCCAAGTCTCTAGGGCAGTGGTTCTCAACCTGTGGGTCACGACCCCTTTGGGAGTCGAACGACCCTTTCACAGGGGTCGCCTAAGACCATCGGAAAACAAAAAGATACTTACATGACGATTCATAACAGTAGCAAAATTACAGTTATAGAGTAGCAACGAAAATAATTTTATGGTTGGGGGTCACCACAACATGAGGAANTAGAGTCTCACAAACGGGTTCAAATCCTGGCTTCATTACATAGTGATATATGACCTTAAGTGAGTTGCATAACCTCTCTGAGGCTGTTTCCTCATTTTTGGAATTAGGGTAATACCCACATTTCATAATATTATTATTGCAAAGGATCAGGGAGAGAATATATGTACAATTCTTAGCACAGCTATTGACACATAATAAACATTCAATAAATAATGGCCATTATCACCATCAATATTAAACCTTCTTTTCAAAATTCTCAGAGTCTTTCTTGATAGTATTTTGCTTTCAGAACTTTTAAAACATGCCCAGGTTTGGAATTAGAACCTATTTCTACTAATTTTTCAGCTTATATTATTTCTGTCTTCAGGACTGCAAAATGTCCAAGCTAGCCTGAAACAGAGAAAGATGGTTCTTTCTCTAGGATTTCATCTTCACCAGCACCAGCATCACCACCAGAAAAGCCATTTCAGTATCACTAACCACACACAGCCCCTCCTACCCCGAAAACTTCAGACTCTCATTGATGGATCACAGCCGGGTTTGATTTCCGATCAGCAGTGGTCCTGGCATAGAGCCCAAAAAGCTCTTGCCTGGCACTCAAGACAGTAGCATCACTAATCTTGCCCTCACTTGTTCCTCATAGTGTTTCTCAAACCAGGCTGTGCCTCACCCCTGAAAATTCCATTCAGATCTCTGGGGCAGCATCCAGACTCCCAACACGTTAAACATGAATGATTCTGATGCACAACCAGGATTGAGACCCACTACCCTAAAATGGTGGCCAAATTTCATTTACCCTGATGTTCACCTCTTTTTGACGTTCCTCTTGATGGCAGTATCTGCAGCTTTCACCTGCCTAGAGAAGCAAACACAAAGAAATCAGAATGTTAATTTGATTTAGTGCGGTGATCATTTTGCAACATACACAAATAGTGAATCATTATCATGTACACTTGAAACTATAATGTTGTATGTCAATTATACCTCAATTAGAAAACAACAACAAAGAAATCAGAGAATCGTAGTATATTATGTGTGTTGTGAAGAAGGCAGAACAGAGAGCCTGGTTTTCTGAGAAGAGAACTAGAGATTATAAACAATGCAAATTGCACAAGCTTAAGAAGCTCTGAGGACTCATGCACGTTTGTTTCAGCCCAGACTATTGAAAAAGGCTAATTAATAGGGAATGGGCTCCCCTCCTGACCACTTCAACAACCTGCTCATGGTTGTTGTGGTTATCTCATGTCAACCTCACTTACATGGGGACTGAGCATTGGGTGGAGGGACACACATACACCCTGGGCTGGACTGTGCTCAGACCAGCAACACAGGCTAACAACTAGCCCCCACCTGCTGTGACACCCGCTTAGGGGTGGTATTTGACCATAGTAATG